CTTTCCTTTCCTTTCCTTTCTTTCCTTTTCTTTCTCTTTTTCTTTTTTCCTTTTTCCCCCTTAAATGTCTGTCGGTGGCATTGTCAATATCGTTATATTTTTAAAAGCATATTTTCATAATTTGCTTACTTAAACTTGAGCATAGTAGTATACTCGGCCTCGAATATGRTGCTCCCGGTCAAAGATTTCATACCACGTACTAAATACCCGGGTAAATGGCAAGCAGTTCGAAATTCGAGGTACGCCTATGTGAATACACTAAAAATGACCGGCAGTTTCTTTCATTTTTGAAAATCCAGCCTATTGTATATCTATGCACTGAATAATGCAAAGGCCAATAGCAAACTATCCTATCATGATTAAGAACTGCCAAGCGATTCCAAAGGACACTTTGTTTATCAAATGTATCAGGCCGTATGGCAGTAACTTTTGGAGTATTAAAATTAAAGGACCTTTGTAACTAAGATCACATCTAGTGAAAGGACCTTTGTAACCAAGATCACATCTAGTGAAAGGGCCTTTGAAACGAAGTTCAGAGGTTCTTTCACTGGATGTGATCTTAGCTTCGAAGGTCYTTTCACTGGATGTGATCTTAGCTTTAAAGGTCCTTTCACTGGATGTGATCTTAGCTTCAAAGGTCCTTTCATTGGATGTGATCTTAGCTTCAAAGGTCCTTTCACTGGATGTGATCTTAGCTTCAAAGGTCCTTTCACTGGATGTGATCTTAGCTTCAAAGGTCCTTTCACTGGATGTGATCTTAGCTTCGAAGGTCCTTTCACTGGATGTGATCTTAGCTTCGAAGGTCCTTTCACTGGATGTGATCTTAGATTCGAAGGTCCTTTCACTGGATGTGATCTTAGCTTCAAAGGTCCTTTCACTGGATGTGATCTTATTAGCTTCAAAGGTCCTTTCAACTGGATGTGATCTTAGCTTCAAAGATCCTTTCACTGGATGTCAAAAAAAAAACTTCCCTCGTCTCGATCCTGATATCTGCGATCTGACGTTTAGAGTACCTATATCTACTAACATAAGGAAAAAATCCGGATCCAGGATTGCACTTCAAGAGGCAGTTTAGTTCTGGCTTCTCTTCTCTTCTCTTCTCTTCTCTTCTCTTCTCTTCTCTTCTCTTCTCTT